TGAGTGTGTGTTGTTGTGTGTGTGTGTGTGTGTGTGTGTGTGTGTGTGTGTGTGTGCGTGTGTGTGTGTGTGTGTGTGTGTGTGTGTGTGTGTGTGTGTGTGTGTGCGTGTGCTATGCTTATAATTATGAATGTGAGAATCACATTTTAAAAAGAGTTTTCTGAAAAGGCTGTATTTTTTTTTTTTGGAGGGGGAGGGGTTAAAAACATGATGTCTTAACCTCTGCCCCATCTTTTTTAGTTGTTGTTGGTATTCTTTTTCAAAAAGATACTGGAATATGAAATACTGATAATGAATTTGGACCATATTATGAAAGAAAGTTTTTTGAAGCTGCTCAAAAAATTTAGTTTTGCTAAAAAACAAAATTAAGTATGTTAATACATCGCAAAGCTTTTCACAAATTGAGGAGAAAGGAAAAAGATATGGCTTGACTTCTACTGAATTCAAAATGTCCATTGTGTGCCCCTGTCGCTCAGCATGAAAGCAATTATTTTTGTTTTTTATGTAGCAATTAAAAGTTTTTGGTCGGTCCAGGGGGTATAAAAATGTGAAGGCTACGTATGAATGAGAACCCCTGTATGATTGTTTATTGCTCAATTACATCTTTATGTGTGGAATTCTGTACGGAGTCTAAACTCAAAAGTGTGAAATAATTGTTTAAGCTGTTATAAACTAAATAAATGATCAGAGTTTTTTTTTTACTAGTTTTGGACTTTGGAGCAAGTATCTTGTGAAATTCATTTCCTTTTAAAGAAAAAAAAAATTATGTTCAGAAATGCCTTGTAGGTGAGGCATAGGATTTTGAACATGACTTTCCCATTGAATATGTACTGTGATGTAGTTTATGATTCAAGGAGAGCTGCCTTAATTCTCTTGTATTCATTCATTCATTCATTCATTCATTCATTCATTCATTCATAGTTTGCTGCTCGTAAAATGTGGTAAAAAATTGAAATACATAAATACGTGTAAATACAGAGACACAGTTAACTGATCATCTAACACATGTGGTAGTCCATTTTGTTTTGATCAAATATAGCCCAACTCAATACACAATGTCTGTATTTCCTATTGTTCAGAAATGCCCACGTTACCGCCCTTCTTACTGAAGAGTAACCTAAAATGGTTCTAACACATGTTGCACATTTTTTTTTTGCTTTTTGCTGAAGGAGGTCACTAATATCTTTGTTGCACATTTTGATGTATGTGGCATTTATTATTTACTGGACATTGATAGCTGATTATTAAAGCTATATGTGTCCTCTGCCCTATTTTAATGAACAGAGGAGGCAGAAAAACTGGTCCAGCAAACCTTGGAGGGAGAGAATGCTAAGGGCGGGGGTCAAGTATAATGGGGGCATATATCTCTGTTATGGTCATGGCTGTCATGTTTGGGGTGGGTGCCTTGTGGGCATGTTCACATCGGGGCTAACTTGAATCAGAAATAGACGAAGGGCTCATTCCCATCGAAACTATTGTACTTAGATCGATCTAACTCCTTGGTGATTCTTGCTGAATGGGATCAGATAAATAGATTAACACACCAATTCTTGGTGTAATGTTGTATAATCATTAGCTTTTCTGCATTCTACTCAACGTCAGCAGAGGACATGTTAATCTGTTAATCTGATTGCATTCAGCAAGAGTCCCTGTGGAGTTGGATCGATCTAGGTAGTGCGATAGTTTCATTGGGAATGAGCACTAATTAATGTCATGGTTGTTGAAACCATGCAAACGTGGAGGCTCCTTTTCTGTACCCTTCTTTGTTGGACCTTAGCATTTTAAACCTTGTTCTGTAAGTTATATTGTTTCTGCATGTGAACTTGATTTTGACATAAGTTTGTATGAGCTTTGCAAGTCGGAAGCAGTGGACATACATTATAGTAATGTAGCTGCTGTTAGTTGGGAGAGATTTGGGTGATTTTTTTGGTCTATGTGCCCTTTGTTTCTAATGAGTGAGGGTGTACAACAAGTCACAATAAAGTGCAGAAACTTTCAGAAATAAGTCCCAGGCAGTTGTGAAGATTATTTCCTGCAAATTGCTGTAAGTGGAAAACAGGTATTCATAGTTCAAGACATTGTTCAAACAGTTAAATACTTCTTTTCCATATAGAACTTTTCACTGTGAAAATGGAGTTTTAAGTGCTGCAGAGAGTGGGTGGGCAGATTTTTCAGCAGACATTTGTAGCCATTTAGGGTTATCCCACAATGTTTTTTACAAAGCGCTTTTTGTGCCTTAATGTTCTATTGTAACTTCTTATCCCATGTGGATCACAATATGCACAGGACCTTAACTCTTTTGGTGGGAACAGAAGTGGTAAAATTGAATGTTTTCCTCTCTTTTTGTTGAAAACTACCTGGATGATTACCTGAGTTTTTTTTTTTTTTTTGAAACTACTTAGCAGCACCTAGATTTAGGAGTCAGTTATTGTGTTCAGGTCAACTTGAAATCATCACGACTTTTGCTGTGCACTAAATGATCTATTTTA